CCTCTTGGCTTCATGTAGTACACTGCGTTGCCACGTTCTTAAAAAGGACATGCTTAAATTGTTTTAGTTATAGAATGGGTGCCTGATTGCAAGAATGTTGTTGTCCACTAACACAGAGAACTTTTTTTCATCTGTCCTGTTTAGTATCCAAGGGCAACACAAGTCATAATTACAAAAGGGAGTATTATTACAGTACATTCCTCCCATTTCATTTAAATTTGTTCATAGTTTTTTACTTGTATTCATGAGTTAATTCATCATCGTCATAGAGGGGCTATGAGTAACTAAATCAACCCACTCTTTCCAGTCTGCAGCCATTCTTAGCAAAATATCTAGAGAGAGGCCTGTCCAGCCAGTTTATTCCTAGCAAGACAAAATATAAAATGTTTGTTCTTGTTATTTCTGTAACACAATAGTTTATTGAACTATTTAGTATAAATGTATTTGTTGATCAACTATTTATTGTAGATAGTCCAAACATCAGACTTGATTTATCATTGCAGCAGGACATGAATTGTTAAAAATGTTAATAAATTTGTGTGTGTGTCTTTGTGCCTTCAGATTTCAACATTCCAGCTCATGTGAAACAAGCTGTGATAATAAACTTCAAACAGAAGACTAATCACAGCAAACCTAAAGGTGAGTCTTAGTCAACTGATTTGTAAGGAGATTGCTGATCTAGAGAGAAGAAATACAATCTATTTGAGTTCCAGTCAACTGATTTCTTCAGCAATTTGCATGTCACTTCGATTTCCTAGACAAGAGTTCTCATACCACTTGGTATGTCTTGAGACAGAAATATTTCATTTCCAGAGTATGCAAGAGATGTATAAAGGGAGATATTGACTGGTAACAGTTCTTGTATCTTAGCACAGTATTGAATAAAGTGATAGTTGAATAGAAAGAGAAAAAAATTCCAAAGTTTCTTACTTTCCATCAGTTTTAGTGCTTTGGAAAGTTTTCTAACAATTTTCAATTGATACAAATTAATTTTTAAAAAAAAATAATTCCCTATACATAATAAAAGCAGCAACTTAAATCTCTGCATACACATATGTCTAGTGGTCAGATGTTTGGCCAGTAGTAGCTTCACCATTTTTCAATCCAGGTACTTGAGTCAGTGGGCTTGCTGCTTGACAACTTTTGGCAGTAGAAATGAGTGATAGCACTGCCTCATTTGAATAGACTGGTATCAAAATAAATATCTACTTATGTTAAAATAAATTGTTTATTATTTAGAAAGTAAATAAAAATTGCGATCCACCAATTTCAGGTCTATTACTCTGGCTGAGCCGCAAAACCTAAAAACCAGGTGAACCCATCCCTGTGTGTTCATACTATAGTGTACTAAACAATTTCTAACAGTCTCATCACCCCTCCCCCTACTACTTAAAAGTATATATTGTGTAGCAGATGAACTGACTTAGTGGGCTCTTGGTTCTTTCTGTCACTAATTGTGTCACTGTGGTTTTACTTTGTTAGATTGTAGATTGTCTCAGTGTCATTAGTTCAATCAACATGTTTTGAAATGTAAATCTTGAAACATGAAAGTATGCTATAGTTTTAACAATAGAATGATAGACAAACAATCTTGTGTCAGTCTGTGAAGAAATTATTTTTTTTAAGAAAACATTTTGTTCTAATAGGAAGACAAGGTTCTGATAACTTCCACTGAGTGTTATTGTATTCAACTCTTTAATTCAAGTGATACAGATAGTCAAATTTTGCAAGTCAATTAAATAAGAAACAAAAGATTACGAGTTATTGGAACAAGTATTCATGTCCTTTATAAACAATGCACACAGTGACTAAAGTTATGTCTGTTTTTTTGTGTTTTTTTTTGTTGTTTTTTTCTTATGTGATACTTAAAGTGATCAAATTGAGCAGCCCTGGAAATAATTCTCTGGCATCTTGCATGGCATGTAGGCATTTACATATCCCATTCAACCTTAATCATCTGTTATGAAAACCTACTAATTAACTCTACACCATTACCTTAAAGTTTTTACTTCATCTCTTTGACTGGCAAAGAATCTGTACAGATGGAGCCATTACTTTTACCTTGAAAGTATCTCTCTCAGGTTGTTTTCATTTTTTGAAATATACTATGACAACACAATGGTCTTAAGACATTATCGGGTCAAACTGTCTGTAACACTTTGGTCTCATGTAAATCTATCAATCAGTAACAGATAGATTTTCCTGATAGTTCTAAATTCGTTACGACATTTTCTTTAGCCCATTAACTGTTTTTATTTCTTGACCTCCTAATAATTGTTTTTGTCAAGGTTTTAGTATCATAACACTTCCCCAAATGTGCCAGCTTGATTCAATACTCAATTGAAAACATTTCCTTGGCTAAGTATAATCCTCATCTCTACCTGGTTCTAGTCTGAAAATAATCTCTATCTCTACATTGCTTATGATTTACTACATGCATGACCACAAACATCTTTGGGTAAATGTCACAAATTGCTCAGCGTCTAACAGTTTAGTCTAAGGGTTTCATTGTAGTGCATGAAAATCTTTTCCCAGTGCAAGTTGTTTATTTCCCTAGGTGACTAGGAGCTAATAGCATCATCACTACCGTCTGTGTTGTCAATATTAGAGTTGGTCACACAATGTTTACTATCAAAGTGAACTAAAAATGATTGTTTTTTTTTTTTTCATTAGTAATATATTTTCAAATGGCTGAAACAAAAAAACAAAACAATATATATAATATTTCAGGATTGCAAATTTTAATAAAATTTAACTTCAGTTGGCCATAAAACAGCCAATTACAACTAGACAAGTGTATAAACTAAATAATTACAAGCTAAAATAGTCTACACAATTATTTCAGCAAAGGGAGGGAATACAGAACTTGTCTTATTTTTATTATAATGTTTTTTTTAATGCAGTTAAAAAAAAAAAAGACATTGTACTTGGTACACCTAAACTTGGGATACAAATCTAAGACTTTATTGTTTATAGATTTAGGGTTTCATTGATTCATTGTTTCATCGATTCTTGTTTTCTTTTTTTTTTTAGGTAAAAAATTTACTCGTACAACCAGTGCCATAGCCACATTACCTCGCACCAAGAATCGTCACAATGTCAAATCAGACGGGACTTTGGAGAAAAGAAAAATCAACTGGTTCTTTCTGGGGAAAGGAAAATCCTGAAGTCCTTAGCCTGCAGCTTTGGATACATTTGGACTTAAAAGCCCTGGTGATGAAAACCAATCCAGTTGACCAGATCTGATGTCTAGTCTCTAAAATCTCAACAGGAAGTTGACTGTACACCCAACACATTGCTCAACAAACTGATTTATCTCAAGAAGGAAAGCAAGACATGTTTAAACAGTTGAAATTGAAGAGCAGAGAGCTGTGGGTTACATGGATTAGTTCACACATACATACAATGGTGTACACACAGACATTCAATGGTGTACATACAGACATACAATGGTGTACACACAGACATACAATGGTGTACAGACACAGAATGATGAAGTCAATGTTTGAGAACTTTGAATCAAGGAGAGACAACTCTTAACAAGACTGGATATATAAAACAAAAGTATATACTTTGACTGTACTACATGAACTGAAACAAAGAACTTGTTTTAAATGATTGTGACTAACAGTTTCTGTTTTACTCAAGAACCTGGGGTTTTTTGTTTTTTTTTATGTCATAAAATTATTAATTTGCTATTGGAGTAAATAATTCAAAATGACATAACCCATGAAAATTAGGACAGAAATCCTTCAGCTTGGCAGCTGCAAATGAATTTATAAGATTAATGACCAGGATCTGACCGATTCTGACACTTAAGAGGATCATTCATTAGTTAAATTGGACTTAACTGGACAACTAATTTCAAATGTGGGACATCAATGGTTAATTGAGTCAGCAGTTCAAATGATCTGACATAACATAGCAGCTGTTCAGTGGAAAACTGCATCAGTCCTTACAGAAAAAAATATTTTATTCACTACAAACTGAATTATTATGAACAAAACAGCCTGTGATGCTGTGTAGTTATGGAAGTAATCTAGTAAGCTGTTCATTTGGTTTTTCTGACATGTTTTGCTAAGAAAAACATTTGCTTTTAAGGTCATGTACATGATGTTTTTGAAATGAATCTTGATTTGTATTCGTTTTACTTCAGTTCAAAGGTGCTGATGAGTCGTATGTACTCACAACTCTTGCGTCTTTCTCTCAGCTCAAGTGACCTCATTCGTCTGTTCAACATCATCTTATTATCAGTGTCATCTTGCATGAGAGCGACATATTGATGTCAGGACCAACTTCAAACTTTTGTTTACAAATGTTCCACATCATTGTACTTGTGTGAGTTGGATGCTTGCGACCCAAGTTCTTTCTGTTAGACATTGTCAAGAAATGATCTGGCTGAGCTGTGAAATTCTGTTTTCAAACTCATGTAGCATTCTCTATCACTAGGAAGGAGAAGACAGTGTTCACATTGGCACGAGAAGTTCTCTTTAGTTTATTCTCTGCACCCAAACTGCCTTCAGACTTATTGATGATGTTGTTTCATTCTGTTTTCTAAATATCAGCTATTGTTTCCTCTGATTTGTTGTATTATACTAGAATTGGTGACATGAAATTAGCCTGACGCTTTCTAAGGGTACTAGTTAAAAAATAAAATTATTATTTTTTACTTGCACCTGTACAATACTGTTTGATAAACTGGTATTCATCCAGTGACATTAAAAGTTGTAAGAACTTTTGTAAATTGTTTTAATTAACACTTTAGTTAAAATTGTGTCCCTCCGATTAATGTTGAGCCCACTTTTTGTTGACTTTGTATTCAAGTGTGAATACAAGAAAAGAATTGTGTTGACTCACTGGCCATTTATTTCTTCTTCCATGTTTCTACACCAGCATTTGTTTGAATGTTTGTTGTAGTTATTTCTGCTGGTTTTTGTGTTTGTGTGATCCAGTCATTTGTTTGAAGTTTTGTGTTCACTTTGTCCAGTAGAGTGGGGGGGGGGGGGGGGAGGGGAATGAACTACAAAAGCATTAATTAGTTCATTTTAAATATTTGTTTTGCAATAATGTTGTCTATCAGTATGAAGGTAAAAGTCATGTACTATATATTTATTATATGTAGAGAGATTCAACTCAAAGCTCCACGAATATAATAGATTTTAAGTTGTATTTTATGGGTGAGGACAGTTGTCATGAAACTAGATCTTCAACATTCAAGCCATATATTGTCATCATTCTGGTGTACCGGCTCAGCTCAAGTACATTTGTAGATTAATAAACACATGTTTATATAACATTATAAACTGGACCATTGGATTAATTAAAACATTTTTTAATTAGCACAAAATGTCATTTATTGTTTTAATGAACACTTTCAACTCCAACCACTCTAGATGTATATAATGAATGTATTTAAAAAAATATTTTTTACAATAATTGACCCAATTTTATTTTTATGCTTTATTTTAGAGAGAATTTTTTTTTCCTTTCATTGTGATACTTTTTTGTGCTAATACAATTTGAACATTTGTTTTAAGTTTATGTGAAGAATGGAACCTAATGATGTACTTTTTTTTCTTGGCTGATCATTAGACATAATTTGTGTGTTTCACTTCTGCAATGTCTTATATCAGTTATTGCCCCTTATTAGTCCATCTAATGACAGAAAAGTATTTTGTCATTGAATATATGAAGTGCACAGTGTGGTCCTAAAATGGCCTCTTAATATACATTATTGATTCTTATGTCAGAATGTGTTGATTTTATGTGCACTTGCAGACTTTGCTTTGAATGAAATTGTTTGTATTTTAACACACATTAAACTTGTATAGTATTAACAACAGTCTTCCTGGTAGCTCTATGATTATGTAATCAAACTCTGTAAATAAGTAAATAACAAAAACTAAATAAGCAATTTTTTTTTCTTTGTCTATTTCATACAAATTTCTATGTTCTGTGTGTGTGTGAGAATGACCCATCTAGAGCTGTGTACAACTGAGCCATCTAGAGCTTTGTACAACTGTGACCAGTTTGATCTCTTCCTCAGTTGAATCCCCATAGTGTACATAAGAATGTGTACAGAACTTTGTGTGTTTCTAATTTATTGCCTGTGTCATGCTGAGTGCTGTTCATCAAATGTAAAACATTTTTTAAATAAAAGTCTAAATAAACTAAAATACTTGACATTATAAGTCTAGTTGTGTTGATAGATTTAGTGGCATGCTTATTAATCAGATTTCAGTCAATTGTGTTGACATTAATGTAAGCTTATGACTTCACCGATGACTGCCTTGCATCACGTTCAGTTTGGCTTGTTTTAGAACAGGTCAATATCCAAGTCATTTCTTAAAGATAGCAGGACAGCAGGGTCTGATCTCAAAATGGATAATTTTAAAAGTTATTTATCTAATGACATCATCTAGTTTCTGATGTTTTACTTTCTAGCAACAACAAAAAAAAAGATTCAAATGGCCAACATGAACTTCTTAAAACAATATATTCACATTTTGACCAACTCGTAAAGTAATTCAGTCAGACTGTGTTAACATTTCAGCACAACTTGAGGAATCTTTAGCTTGAATCAAAGCAAATTTAGGTAGTAACAAGATCATTTTTATTAAAATACAATTCTTGCCAGTTTCACCTTTTAATAAGGCATTTTATTCTAAGTTCCCCTTTCAGACCTTGCAATCTCTAGGGCAGAGGATGTGATGGTCATCTGTTTCTATGGCCCTCGGTTAACGAGTGTCATGTGGCATGCACAATGACAAACCGCCTTTACTTTCCCCAACTAATAGGTCCCCAAATGTACCAGCTTGATTAAAAACTCAAATGAGCATTAGAAAGCATTTTCTTTCCCAGTGCAAGTTGGTGACTAGGAGCTAATAGCATCATCACTACTGTCTGTGTTGTATTGTGTTGAAAACCATTTTCCGTCGGCGAATTGAAATCCACAGATAGTGAGTTGAAAACAAGTATAAAGGTTGTTTTTAACATGAAGTCAGTCTATAACATAAAGTCAGTTTCCAAGACTGTTCTAGGAAGGTTGGATGTAGTTCAGACAGAAAGTGACTTCAAGAGCTCTCGAACTTCTGGGCATTGAAAGAAATATTCCCTTGTTGAATTTTGATTGATGTTAGGACAAGATCCAAACAGAATAAAGTTGTTTTTACTTAAGTCCAAGTCTAAGCATTGTCAATTTGTGGGTTGAGAGGCAGAAACCACTTGGCGACCTATCAAGGGGGATCAAGTTCAAATCCCGGCTAGAGCTAAGCTAGAGGCAGCACTGGAACCTTCTCCCAGACAACAGGTTCACCAGGAATATTGGAGCAAGCTAGAGCTATATAAAAGTCAATTTTGGTAAAGATTTGCAATCAGCGTTTTCCCAAAACTCTAAATCCCATTTACGCCAGATACCTGCTCAGATGACCAGGAACAAGAGATTGGCCTGTCCAAATAATCTCCACCAACTTCAGCAGTGATGCCCAAAGTACGGGCAGCGGGTCACATCCGATCCCAAACGTGGTTCAATCCGCCCCCCCCCCCCCCCCAAAAAAAAACCTCAGCACAAAGTTTGATAAAAAAAAAAAACGCCTTCCCTACTGTAGGGCTCTCAATTTTTTTCTAAGTTAAGTCTGTGAATGAGTCAGTCTAAATAAAATAACAATATAGTGAGTCAATAAGCCTACAATCTTACATCTTTACCAACTTTTGTTTAGATCTACAAATATTTTTTTTTATTCAATTTGATTTTAATTTCAAGATAATGTGCATTTTTATCTATAGTAATGGAAAATCAACCATACAAAAAATGAAATCAATGATGTATGTATGACTAACTGAAAAATCTGCATAAAAATGTCGGCCTTCAAGTTTTTTGTTTTTTTACTAACTAGAATCCCAAATATCCAATGCTTCTAAAAGATATAAAAATCTGATATTGTTTCAAATAATTCTTTACCCAATAAAATTTTAGAATCATTAGGCTCTACTTCAATAGAAAGTGATTGTACACATAAACATGCAGACTTTCCCCCAGATGTAGTGACCTATGGCTATAAACTTTATCTACAAATACGACCGTACACACAACACACTACTATATATATAGTATATATATATATATAATAGAACACTATTTATGTAAATGCCCCTTTTTTAAGTTGGTAAAATAATAATTTGTTTTATAAAAATCTGGCTATGCCTATAGTACTGTTAACAAAATTATGACTAAACTATAAACATATTAATAATATTATGAACGTCGAGTTGCTAGATTCATCATCTTTGTGTGTCTGATAAACCCAGAGAATCAAGATATAGAATCTAGATCTATATAGGCCCACTATTATATAGAATCTAGCTCTAGTCGACGCTAGACTAGATCTAGGATAAATCTCAAGTCTAGACTACTACTCTAGATGATCAGCTTCATCTTACCTTGATCATGGCACGACAACATGATCATCAGATGATTAATCATTAATCTGACTTCCTGACTTGTTAACTTAAACTTCGTCTTAGCCTTAGTCTAGATTCTTCATATGTGAATCATGAATGGAATTGCTTGACTCACAGTGTCACAGATCGCTCTTTAAACTATTTGAAGATCTACTTTATCTTTACTAACGACTCTAATCTATATCTAGTTTATATCTATATTTTATATAATAATTAAAGACCTAGACTCTAATACTTATAAGATCTAGATCTATTCCTATACACTGATTATACACTACAGATTTAATGTTTCTGATGAGCAATACTACTGTCTACAGCCATTGCCCATTAACATAGGCACTATCTAGCTCTTTTGATCACAACTCATCTTGCCTAGATATTGACAACTGTACTAGATTGGACTAGACATTCTAATTGGTTATATTTTCTTTTTTCATTATTCTCAGACATTCCAGTTGGTACCAAATTGTGCTATTTATTCACTGTAGATCTAGATCTTAATTTTTCTCTTAACTACCAAAGAAGTACACAAAGGATGTTCAATGGTACCCAAAGGGCTCTAATTACTACCATTCAGTGTGTGGATTCAAGTATTTACCCAGATACTGCCACAATATATTCTTATTGTTTTCAAAGGAGTTTGCACACAGTGCCAGAAGCTGTATAAATACATTTAACAGTAAGTTTCTAGTAATTAATAATTTATTTTGAAATGTTATGTAAGTCTATTTTAATTGTAAGAATCCATGTGCTATTTTATTTCAAGCTAATTTTCTCTGAGAATATTTACACAATATTATTGATATGTTGTAAATAAAACATATTATATTCCCTCCAGCCTGTGCAGGATATTTTTTAAGTGATAATTGGCTGATGCAGGCCAATACCACTCTTTTGTTATCTAAGGTGTTTTCCTTCAAATTATACTTTCTTGCATTAGAATTAAATATATTATGCAACAATTATCAATTAGAAGTACAGATAAACCAGTTATCTTAGTGGAAAAGGATGTCAGATGAGTTGAGAAAATGCTTAAAGAAAGTTTTTACATAATTCTTTGAACTACGTCACTGTAAATATTTTGGAGATTTTTAAAATTTAATTAGAATTTCATTATTGCTCACATTAAAAGCAATTGTTTTTTTCTTTTCTGCAGGTGTATATTTCAAGAAGAAATGATGCTTTCTTATTCCTAAGAGTTTATCAATAGGATGGATGCCACAAAACTCACTTGTTATGCCAGAAACTCTTCCTACGAAACTTCCAGTAAGTAAAAAAAAAAGTAAAGTTTCCCTTTCAGACCTTGTGATCGATAGGGCAGATGATGTAAAGGTCTTCTGTTTCTGACATCTATTGCCTACGGTTAACAAGGGTGTCATGTGGCCAGCACAATGACCAACCTCCTTTACTTTCCCCAACTAATGTCAGGTACCCAGTCTTCACCAGGATTCGAACCCCAGTCCCCGGTTTGGAAGCCAATCGCTTTACCGCTAAGCCACCAGGCCTCCTTCCAGTAAGTACGGCAGCTTAAAATTTAATACTTTTATCTTAGTGCGAAAATAATAAAAGCAGTCTTCGAATTCTCCCTTTAAATTTGCAAAGATATGTTTATAATTTAATGTATGCAGTAAAAAATTATGTTTCAAACACTCAGTACAATATTCAATGACTCTTTTAATTGGGTTACCTCAGCATGCTTGTGCAGAAAATTTCCTAAATTTTTTTAAAAATCTGTTCCCTTCGCTTTCAAGTGCATTTAATGATTCATTAAATTTTCATAATATTACTGAATATAATGTCAAAGATTAAATATTGTTATTATTATACTATTCCATTTTTTTTGTTGTAATATTTTTGTTTCATAATATGTCCCCATAGCATTTTTTATGTAAAACCTCTAATATACTTTACTATACTCCTAATATACTTTATAAGGAACTGTTTTGTTAGATGTTTTCAGAATTGGTTTTATCCGTAAAGGACTTGAACATATGGAAGTTTGGTACTATATGAAACTAAGATTGAATTGGTGACTTGTTATAATTTAATGTATGTTGTTTCTATTCCATCAACAGTACTAGAATTTGTCCAGTGCCTGTGATCCTCTGAGTTGAAGGAGAATGTGCTCCATAATACCTACTAGGAGCTTGCTGATAGCTGGAAGTTCATGAATACTATGTTGTTCTTGATTTGATGATTCTGAAAACTACCATTTCTGAAGACTTGTGCATTATTTCTATAATTTAAAAAATCTTTTCACGAAATATTGTGTTTATAATATTAAGAAAGTGAAGATAATATTGTTCTTACTAATATTATTGACTTATTAAAATAGAAAGCATATCATTACCAATATTCACTTGTCAATAAATGTTAGCATTATTCAATTTTTAGTTACATGTTCAGACTATTAAATTTTATTATTTAAATTATAGCAACTTTCTCTTTCAGTCAAGCTTAAGATACATTCCTGTAAAAGGTCTATAATAATAAGTTAATGTCAATGGGAAGCGTGGTCGAGAGGCCAAGTGCGCTTGAACTTGGCTTGGCTTGGCTACCTAGAAGGGGGCTTGAGGTTTGACACCCGACTCGGGCAGAGTTGTGTTTACTGAGCGCCTAAAGGCAGCACGGAAAACCAACTCCTAGATACCCCCTCCCCCCCCACCGGTCCACAAATGAGATTGGACCAAAAGCGCTCTGAGCATGCTATAAGCATGAAAGTAGCGCTATAT